TCTGAATCCTGTTTAGTACAACCTGGATATAATATTTTTTCTCAACATTACATAACACAATTAGGCTATAATAACACATCTACGGATTGGACAAGAAGGAGAATCATGTGTTTATCACATGTATAGCCCCACACCAATTGGTTTAACCGTTCCTTACATAAGGCCATGATTTATTACCTTGTTTACCTCATCTTATATAATCCCTAGACCACCAGGGGGCCTTACATAAGGCCATGAACTGTTGCCTGGCAAGTGTCCCATCGTGACCCTTACCTCCTCATGGAACTTTCCATTAGGTTGGTGTAGGGATGATACATCCCCACATCACAAAAGCGCAGTATAACCACTATGGTTAAGAAAGCCTATCACCTTTATTTTGGCTGCAAAACTGGAGATCAGGACAAGAGGTGGGCCCCACACATATGCTGCAACACTAGTGCAACAAATCTTCGCCAGTGGTTGAACAGGAAAAGGAAATCTATGCCTTTTGCAGTGCCAATGATTTGGAGAGAGCCAACAGATCATACCAGCAATTATTACTTCTGCATGGTGCCTCCAGTTGGGAATACAAGAGACAAGCCAAGAAGCGCTGAGTAGACACTGAATAGGACTAAACTATGTACATAATAGTTTTTTGCCTTTTGTTTCATAATAAATTTTATTTATATAACCCTTTTGCTGATTTTTAAAGTGTTATATAAACAGGACAGGTGAAATATTATCATGTAAAGCAACCATAAACACATGAAAAGATCTAGGTTTACAATTTATTATTAAAACTCTACTATCTACACAATATACATAGACATAAAATGTAAAAACTTAAATATCTTAGAAACAGTAGCCAGTTGTTTTAATTGTCATATTTGAATTAAGTACATCAAAATACATAATAAATAGCACATTTTATCTCTGAAGCAGACGACTTCTCAAAAATTGTAGACCAGCGTTATCGCAGTACACGAAGCAAGTATATAGATAGCTATCCCGTCTCCACGGATTTCTGCCAATATTTCCAGAACCTGTTCCTGTTGTACCAATTTGATGTAGTCATTTTCTATGTTCTTTCCTGTATTGGATATGCTGTAGGACATAGTGGCATTATCAACATATGTAAACAGGACATTACGCCAAATGCCACCACAGCATTAGTAGTGTTATCTTTTTAAAATAGAATGCAATCAGTGTTACTTTTATTTCTACCAACATTGTGCAATCTCTGAAGTGCACAGAAAGTTTGATTGAGCCTCCATCTAAAATGTGATCTTGTGTTTGAAGCTGTTATTTATTTTAAAATGCAGGGAGGCTGGAATTGTGCACATTTTTATACAGTGTTATTTCAGTTCAATTCAAATTATAGTTCACCTTGTATGTACAGTAGTGCTGTTCTTACTGACCAAGACATGTGCATGTTGTACAGTACTGCCCATGTTTCAGTTAGAATGGAATGAACACGGAAGTCCAACTCTGGCAGATTTTTGAGCTTTTGACCCTGTGTGAAGAATTGAACTTAACATACAAAGATTTCTCCTCTTAGTTTGTCCTTGGCAAAGAAATAGAGATCCATGAAAAACTTTAGGGGGTAGGGAAGAATACAGCTAAAGTGCCTGCTGTTGTTTCCCATTCTTAAGAAAGTAGAAATGTTAACATGACGTCCAATCAAACTTGTAAAACTCAAATATCTAAATATTTCCATTCCTAATGACCTTTATGAAGCAGCAGTCTAAATGGAAACTTTAGCACCACTCAGAGAAACTTTATGAACTATGTCATCTGCTGCATATTAAAAGAAAGAATGACTAATTCTGAAAATATATGCAAATAATGTTTATGTAGCCTACATTATTTTTTCATTTTTGCATTGATTATTTGATTTTTTTAAATGACTTCTCATGAAGGGATAAAACTAATTTCCTATTCAATTGATTATTTTTAATCAGAGAGGACTATTTGTGGTTTTTCAATAATCAACAGCTCATAGTGGGCTTTAAATGGCCACTAAAAAAAAAAAAGATTGGTACAGACTACAAAATCCATTACAAAATGGTCAAGAAAATATAATTTGAGAAAATGTTGTTGTTTAAACTAATGAGTGTTCCATCTTAAACAAACATGACAAAGGAGAAAATTCAAAGCAGAGAGAGAAAATTTAGTCTTCATTGGAAGTGCCATGCGAGCAAGGTCTGGGAGGCCAGATACACAGATTTGATTCTTCATCTGGCCACCCATATGTTAAGTGACTTGTCTAAAATAATCCAGGTGAAAATTTTCAAACGTGGTCACAGGTTGTTTGTGTCTCGGGGGAGGGGGACTTGATTGTTTTTGTTTTTTAAAGCCAAAATCAGTGGCAAGTTGGGGGTGGGGGAGAGATTGTAAACATCTCTGTGCCCCAGTTTAACTTTCTGTAAATTGGGTAGAATACCCACCTCGCACAGAGTTAAGTGAAATTTAATTAATACTTATACAGATATTGGATGAAAGGTGCTCTATAGAGTAGATTCAGAGAATTGTTAATACTAGTACATTCTGGAGTATGATGATGGTTTTAGGGCCTGGAAACTTGACTACTTTGGAGCCAATGGAATTTACAAGAATAAGGGCTCTTGCTGTACTGGCTAAACAAAAGTAACGTTTACTTTCCTTATTAGTGTCTCCTCTTTCAGTAGGCAAACAATTATCTTCTTCTCCCGTGTTTCTTCTAGAGAAAGAATCAGCATGGCTTTCCTGTGCCTGCTGTTTCTTTTGAAAACCTCATCAATGGCTGTGATCCTGGATTGACAGCAGCAGAGCAAAAAGACTGAAGTTTTGTGAAAGGAGTGGTCTATCTTTTTATGTCCTTTAAAGAAGGACGAATTAAGAATGAGTTGTGGAGTTTGCCACATTAAGGTAGGTAACATCTGAAGGCTAATTTATGTGAATAAACCACTTCCTCTCACCCAACTGAACCCAGATAATGAAAAGGGCTTATTACCTCATATTACAAAATGTGACATATACTGTAGTGCTCTAACCCCTAGAGTAGATACAGCCTACAACTGTGTCCATCTGATGTTTCACTCTTAACTCAGAAAAGTCTCACTTAAGCGGCGTGAACACAGAACCTTGGTCAGTCTAGGCTTGATCTCCAATCCCAAATTCTACTTCTCTGGGCAATGTGTTTGGTTTTACAGCTGTAAAAGGCAGCTGCTTTCAGAGTAGTAATTTTCCCTCTATGTCCTTGTTTAATTTCATGGAGAGGTAGAGACTGTGGGCTCCTTGTGTTGCTGGATAAATGAAAACTATTAGGACGGTGCTTGTAGGGGAGCATTCAGGAAACATCACAGGCTCTTCATTAGAGTAAATGTCAATATATAGCACAGCCACTAATATAAAAGAGCCAAAACCTTTTAGTAAGAAAGATTTCCTTTTTAATCCCAATCAATTTAAAAAAAATCTGCTTCATTTAATTTAAACATTTTAAATCTTTCGTTTGTGAAGTGAATACGAATTGCGAGAAAAAGAAAGTGCCAGGCATTAAACTGAACACAAGTCAATCAAGTGCATTGCATGCTCATTTACCATTTGCTCATGGGCTCTCTTTTTTGAAGGCACAAGAAGTGCATTGAGGACTATAAATAAGCCATTCGGGGTAAGTACACATAGTATTTGCATTCTGATTACAGGAATAACAAACCAAGCCGGCGCAGTAGGAAACACAGGACCTGTAATTTAAGGACTTTTCTGTTCTTCCATATACACCAGTTTAAGTCTGACTTCAGTGGCACTAATTCAATGTAGAACTGGTGGAAGTGAGAGGAGGATTACGATTTACATTTGTATTGCAAGAATTTGTGCTGAACTGAGTATCCCAAAGTCACTGGGAAAAACAGAGGGCATTTTGCAGAATGAGGCCTGTGTGGGTTTACATTTTATAGAGATTCATTCATGGTTCCAAAATTATGCAAGATATGGACTTCTTATCTTGTTTCAGATGACATTTTAATGCAATAAAAAGCTCATGAAAAGAGCTAAAAACAAATTACAAAATACCTGCCATTAAGACTTCCCAAAGTATCAAGATTTTAACTTTTGGGCTCCTGTGGAATCAAATCCCACAATCCTAATACACAGTAACTATAATATTAAAGTTCAATATCATACTGTTATTTTTCCACACATATCCTGTCTAATGATGACAGCATATCATTTAAGAGCGCATGCCCACTTGACAAGTCATGCAAGTCATTTTGCTGCTGCATTATCTTCATCGATTTGGAGTCTAAGCCTGCAGAGAACCATCCAGCCTGATCCCCACTAATTCCAATGGGAGTTCAGCAACTTCAGTGTTAGTGGTCATGATCTTGGAAGTTTGAGGCCAATATCCCTGACAACCTTTTCAGGCATGAACATCCTGACAGCAAAAGAAATGCTATTACAGAGAGCAAAATCCTGGTCAGCTGATTCACCCAACAACACGCATGAAAGAGGTGACCACAGATTGGCCCGAAGAATATATATTTTATCTGAATTAATGGTGATGTTTTACAAGCTTTTTAAATTTTAAAGCAGGGTTGGAAAATCTGAGCTAAAATACCAGACAATTATAGATACTCCAGGGGAGGCGCAAGACTCCTCTCATTTTGTTTTCTTAAAATATTTTAACTCTTAAGACATGATTTTGCATTTTCCCAAGCCAACGTTCTTATTTCTTGTTAGAGACCAATTTCCCAACCCTGTAGTTGTCATTTGGCTTAGTCACAAGAGCAGTCTCGTTCACTTCCACTCATAACTATATTTACCCTGCGTGGAGAACTAGCAAGGATTTCACACCACTTCAGCTTAATGGGACTTAAATGGTGCAGAATGCCTTCTGCAGGCCCTCTACAACAGAGGATGAATTTCACCCCTAGTAAGCAGTCCCAATGATTTTTTATGGTCAAGATAACCCCTTGAGGATAGTTAAGCAGGATCTGGCGCATATGTTCGTTGTTTTTCCTTTATGTTTCCGTTTAACTAAATCACTCCTCTTTTCACTGTGTCTTTAGGAACCAGGCAGAAACGCTGGAAGAAAGAGATACTAAAGAAGTAGTTTCCCCAACAGAAACAGTGACCATGTGGGAGCTCTCATAAAGTTCCTCTGTACTCAATGTGACATTTCAGAGGTTCAGCAAGTTTATTCTGCTGCATAAATACCAAGCTGGTGGCAAAATATTTATATGGCCCATTTCTCACATACCAGCTAATCATAATCACATTATTTTTAGATTGCTTTGACAAACTGCCTGACTAAACAGTGGTTTAAAAAAATTAAAAACGCTGAAGAAAAAGGGCTATATTTGCCTTGTTGTCTCCACTTCATTTTTCCAAAAAGTCTAGATTGAAAGCTCCTACTGTAGTTTTCTGTTACCAAGCCATCAATAATTTTTTTTCAGCTTACTAAGAATTTGGATTGGCACATAATACTTGAAGTTGAGTTTTATATGATTGTTGTAACAAACTAAAGCAAAATAAATGCCTAAAACTGGATAGGAATTACTATCACATATTCTGGAGCAAGTTGTTTTGAAAAGAGAAACAGCGAAAAGTTGACTACCTATTAGCTTTGGACAGAGCTAGTACATACACATTTTCAGCAGCCTTCAAACAAAATGTTAAATATTTATTTTTCACAAATTCTGCATGAATAGCTGCATGGGATGAGGTGTTGACCCGACACGTGCCATGAGAGGGTTAATAGGGGCCTGAGGGGCCAGAGTTTATTAGAAATAAAGCCTAGCAAAGGAAGAGCAGGGCCTGTCACCATAAGGAGCTGGGTGAACCCAGTTGCAGGAGGAGACCCAGAGGAGAGGAGGTTGAGAATTCCCGCTCTCTGGGAAGCAGCCTGAAAGAAGCTGAGGAGCAGAGCAGGCGTATTACTTCAGAGGTGAGCTGAAAGCCTGACTGGAGGCAGAAACCCTGAGGAGCTGTAGCTTACCTGAACCCCTGAGTGAGGGAAAGGATGTGCCAGCCCCTAGGTTATGGGTTTGCTTGATGCACAAAAGCCTGTGGTTACGCAGGAGGTCAGTATAGAGCAGCTGAGGAACACCTACACACAGGTGGCTGCCAGCTGAGCTGAAGGTTTGATGGTTTACATTTTTTCTAGACTTTGGTAAAAGGACTCTGTGCCCCTAGAAGGGCAGGACTCTGCAAAATGGTCTGGCTGGAGGGCCAGGACAGTCCTACAACTGGGGTAAACCAAACAACAGTCGGAGAAACTGAGGCAGAAGTTGCTGACGTACCACAGCCAGCCATGTGGTGTTTCAGGGCTGTAACTTTGCCACCATGTGGTTGTTTCTTAACTTTAAAGACATTCTGCCCATGAATCTAGTACAGAGGAATTAAAACCCTAGAGCACAATCTGAACTGTAAATAATCCTAGGGCTTAATTCTGCCCAGTGCTGCAGCACAGGGTCACATGTTTAAACAACTGATAAAGCAAGATAGGAACCACACTCCGGATGGAGTGAAAATTTGCTTTGTGTGCAGAGCCCCACCACAAGAGGTATACAGCACTCCAGCCCTATTTTGAGAGCGAAAGGGTTCTTAAGAATTACATAGTCTAGGGCTGGCTGGAAAACGGTTCTTTTTTGTGAAAAATTTTGAGGCTGTGAAAAATTTGTTTCCACTCTAATATGGAACATTTCAAAACATTTTGGGGAAAAAAGACTGAATCAGACCAAAGGGAGAGGGAGAGGGAAGGGAAGAAAAGAGATCGACTCATCCTAGATTAGCCAATAATCAGTGATTAGGGCATGAACCAGGGATGCAGGCAACCCAGTTTCAAGTCCCTGCTCTACCTGATTTGGACAGGGACTCAAACCTACATCTCCCACATTTCTGGTAAATGCCCTTACCAGCAGTCTTACTGGCTATGCTGAGGTGTCTCTCTCCTTCCACCCCATCCTAGACCTAAGAAACCTTCCAAACAATATTTGTCACGACCAATACATTTCGGTTTTGACAAAACCACATTTTTTGATTGGAAAAAAGGCTGACCAACTCAAGCAGAGACCCCTCGGTACAGAATGAAAGTTATACATAAGCGCTCTACTGTGGGGCCTCAAGGTTACTCTGCCTACTGCCAGGGTAAGGTCTTCAAGGGGCATGTATAACTAGGGTCTCATTAGTTTGATGGAGACCATACCTAGACCTGTGTTTTGTCAGGCACAGCAACACCTCACCCCTTTTTCAACTTTGGCATTTGCTAGTAAGGCAGCAGGTACTCAGAAGGCATTAATGAAGAGGATCATACATGCTCCCTCGTGATTCCTCAAAGTCAGTCTTAACTGCTGTAAAGGGCTTTCTGGTGGGCCATGGATGAGTTAGGAAAAGACATAGCATGAGAGTGTGTATGTAGCACTAAAGAAGGAGGAATTACTCCCTTTCAAAATACAGTGTATTGCATGAGAATTTCTCAGAGAAACAGTAAGGCTTCAAGTAGTGTGACAAGTTTCCATGGAGATAGTAGTTCTGTGCTGCTTGCTTTGCACTCATGGGGTCATGTGCTATTATAATTAGAAAAATGTGTCTGCAGACAAAACTAATTTCCAAATATTTACATTTGGAGGAGCAGTTTTAAACTAGAGAGGAGGAAAAGGCATCAAATATAAATGCCAGCCTTTGAAAAATCAATATCCTCCTTTCTGTACAGTTATTTTTTTCATCCTGGCACCCCTGGGGTACCCTTCAGTGATAATGCCATTCTGATTCAGAGGTTTTTGCAATTATCCTACATCATATCCTGCCTGCATAGCAATTGACCTGGTAATCTCACTCGATGGCACTGCTGTGACTTAAATCCTCCACTTCCACCCCTTTCTCCAATGCAAACTGAGCACTTTGGGCAGCTTGGTCCTTTCGTGCTTTTTTTCCTCCATGCATATTTTATTTTGATTTAGAGCTTAATTCCAGATGTTGGAGGGGCTTTAGAATAGACGGTTAAAGAATAGGGGATGGTCTGAGTTTCTTCCCAACCCCAAAAATCTATTTCTGGAATGAGAATCTTGTCACTGTGAAACATTAAGAGGAAAACCTTTACGGACTGACAGGTTCTAGCCTTAAGGGAATGGGGAATAAAGAAACTGGAAACATTAGTTGAAGATTTTCTTAACCTTGAGATTTCCCATCCCAACCATATGCTGCAGTTTCTCAAAGGGCATTGTTTCAGGGTGGAAGGAACAAAGTGTATTAGTTGAATAAACAAGATAGATTATCAGAATATATAAAGTCAAAGCCCATACCCTACAGCAAGTTATAAAGACAAGCAGCCATCTGGAGCCTGTGAAATGTTTCTAGCTCGTCAATAAGACATTATAATAAACACACAATATAGGCTGTTCATTTAAAAAAAAAAAGCTACAACTGAGCATTCTCTCTCCAGAGATTTCTGCTACATACTTTTTAAAAATCTGTGATCCAAGAAGGCAAGTCTTCTAGGGCTACAGAAGGTTAACTGTCTGGCTTCCATACACCCATCTGACCCAGTCCTCCATAAAAACTGACCATGTTGCAAAAGTCTTCACTCCCTGCAAACCCAGTGTACTGTACTTCTCTGGTCTAACAAGCACCAACAACTATATCTCCTTCACTTCCCTCCAGCTGATACGTGGAGCCCTTCAGCTGGCATTAGGAAAGCTGACATATATGAAACCTGACTGTTAAATGTGAGCTAGTAAAACTGACATGGGAATCCTCTGATGGCACCAGCCGGTTCTTGCAATGTGTTTGCTCTTTTAGAAAAAGCTTTGACATTTGACGTTAAGTGCAAAAGTGATTAAGATAGTTCATGGCTTTGCAGGAGGTGGTGGGAGAGGATGCTACAGCAGCTCCTACAGTGAAAATAATTTTTTTTAGTAAAAACATGTTTTCTTCTGGGGTGAGACTTTCAGTCAAGACACTATGCTCAGCCTCCAGTCAATGGAGAAACTCATGAGCCAAACAATGCCCAATAACATACATTTGTCAATCAGCAGTTCTAGAGCCTTCAGTGTAACTAATCACATGGATAAAGTTAAGCACGTGCATACATGTTTGCAAAAGCCTTTACTCTTTCAATTGACACAAATGTGAGGCTTTATTTACTGGTTATAATAGTGTGTTATTCTCCAAATCATCCACAGTGTAGTTTCTCTCCCCTCCCCCCCCCCCCCCCAAAAAAAAACACAAATAATCAACAAAAATTAAATCTGAAGTTTTGGAAAGAGCCAATAGGCTATTCCCAGTATTATTTCAATTTAAGTCTTTTTAGAAAATCTTCTCACCTTTGGGCATCTAATCAAATATTTTCTTCAAACCAAGAAGTCTAACTATTGGCTAGCAACATTATCTTTAAAGAGACTTTGTTCAGTTTTATAATAATTATATTTTTCCTTATAAACCATCATGTATCTAATAACCTCAACATTCTATACTAAAGTCACAACAACCCATGAAATATTGTATTGTAATATTTGTGGGCTGTAATATTTTGGTCTAAGTTTGGTTGTTGGTTTAGTGTACAGGTGATGATGGCCTGTGAGACTAGGTCAGACTAGCTGGCCTAGTGGTCCCTTCTGTCCTTAAACTCTATATAATGCACAATAACTTGGCTAAGTAACTTGCTCAAGGTCCCTGGGCCAGAGTTGAATCCAGTAGGCCTGATTATCAGTTTTGTAATCAGATCACACTCCTCTCCTATTTAAACAGTGGCCTCTCCAACATGAAAGCTGTACTATGCAATGTAAAGTTATTGGAGATATCTGAACATCAGAGCAGCATGCTATGTGGGTTTCAGGAATTATTATGGAAAAATCTCAATATAAAATTTATTCGGAAGTGACTAATTTTAAATGCAGAGAATTGATTACAATTTTACAAAACAAGCCTTCCAAAAGTCAAAAAAGCAATTTAAGTCACTAGTAATTTAGTATACAATTAAAAATTAAGTCAGGGTATTGTTAATGGATTTTGAAACTTCTATTGTTGTATTATACACACTCACGTTAATTAAAATGAAGTTAAATTTGAGAGCATCTATCAGTAATTTAAGGAAAAATATAAGAGGGTTATTGTAGTTTTCCCAAAGCCGAGAATTATACATCCAGGAAATTCAGAGTGAAGAGTCAGCTTAAAAAACAGAATGTGTTAAGGTACAGAAATGCACAGTCTGGGCATCTAAACAATCTTAATTTTGCAGTGACTTCATGCAATCACCATGTGATTAAGGCATGTTAGTGTTTGCAGATCCGACTAGATGAACATGATCTTTAAAGACTCAGAATTTTCCTTAATGATATCAGAGTATTAGTCAAATTAATGGATTTACTTGTAAATTCTCAGAAAAATACATTCTATACTCAGTAAGTGCTGTAATTATGGGGAGAATGTGCTGTATTTTTCATACATAAAATGATTGAATCGCTGCTTTAAGTG